AGTCCGTAATCTTCTGAACTGCTTCAGTCAATATGCCTGTCAAGGCGGTCAGCTAATGAAACATTATTTACCGGAATCCGAGGCATTGGGAATCTAGGGCATTGTCACAATACTTATATACAACTGTGCATATAGAGTACTGAAAAAAATAAGTTAGATTAATGAATATTTTTCAGTGTGCAGTGGCATAGGTGCAATCTTCAATATGGAGATTCTGTCTAAGACTGGCTTCAAACATTTGGTGAACCATTAAGGCACGAAGCAAATAAAGAGTAATAAGTCTTTGAAGGGTGTAGGTTCTTGCCGGTATGCAGATGAAGTTCAAACGAGTCTCAACATCTGGAGAACGTTCTTTAACTATACCCTTGTACAGTGGATGCTCTTCGTTATTCAAGATCTTGTTGGCGAAGCGTATTGCGCTCAAAATTACAGTCTCAATCACCGATGAGGCAAAATAATCCGCTGAGGCAAAGTGCATTGCAACCGTCAAACGCAAGTGTCAGACCAGACAGCACGACAAGAAAACTCGCAAGTTCCGGCACTACCACTCCAGAGCACCACATTGCCTCCGCTGTTCGCAAGACATCGACTTGCTTCCCGTTTGTCGGTCGAGTGGTCGCACTGATATACAGTTGGGTGAATTCCTTACTTAACAGGACTGGCTATTACTATGAGTCAGCAATAGCGTATTACGTAAACTAGTTATTATGGTTATCGTTTAACTAACTTGTGTTTGACTAGAGTGACTTCTAGCTCCTGCCTCATTCAATTACTGAGTATTTTCCCTCCTTTTGTTTATCAAGCACTCCTAAAGCCTGGCTACACCCGTGATAAAAACGTTCCATCTCAACTAGTTTTGCCACCTGCTCCGGTGAATCCACTTTTTCAAGGAGCCGGTCAATGCAGAGTAAATTACCTGAACTTCGCCGGCTCTCTTGAAAAGGAGAAAAGCACTTTAAGTTTTCTTTTATCACGGGTATGCATACTTCATTGAGAAGTTCTTAACAGGCAGCTGAACGAACCTCGCGTTGGTTCTCCGTTTCACAGTACTGCTGCCTTTGCTAAATTTTGTGACTGATCTGTTAACCGTTGCTCGTTAACCATCGCTCATTGCTGAAAAGTCGAATTCGTCGGATATCTTGTTTCGGCAGAGAGAGAAAACTTAGCCAGAACGGACAACGCATAGGGTCTTCCTTGTTCAGACGTCATCGACGAGAGCGGACAAAGCGAGTAGCAAGTGGTTAAAGAAAGGGCGCACTGATCAAGCGAAACAGCTCCATGTTGAAACCAGTTTTGAATTGACTTGCGAAAAGTGAAAAAGTTTATTCACAACCAGGAACTGGCGTAACTCTCACAGGATTTTCACAGGTCATTTTCACCACAATAAAATATCAGATGTCTGAATGACGACGAACGTTAGCAAAAGGCGAACCGTCATCACTGAAAAACCGATGCACCTCAAACCTCGGATTAAGAACACCTTGCGGCGTAACGCTGCAAACAGTAGATACAACAGCTCCGTAACACCATCACCGGGTTTAAGACAAATATCTGAAAATAAGCGCCTAAGCCAACATTGCTCGGCCAGAACGAAAACCGCGGCATAGAATTAAAGTTTCGCCACTGCACTCACCGCCTTTGTTTCCGACCAGTTCCGCGTAGTAATAGTCATCGATCGAGATCGCGTTCGGATCAGATCCATCACACCAAGAAACGAGGAACGGTAAAAGAAGATACGTCCGAACTGCCAACAATCTCCACATTCAGCTCACCGCTCTCCTACAGCCGAAACACCATTAGTAAAGCACGCGACGACGCATTTCAAATTCCGCGCTACACGTCTAAGAACGTTCGAAACTCGCTACTGTAGATCGTCAAGAGAGACTATCGATTCTGTCTTGAACCGCATAATGAACAATTTGAAATCATCGACTGTTTGAAATAACTGCGCTACGTAAAATAACGAAGCCCCAACATAACAACCGACAGTGAGCTCCGGACGCTTTGCAAACTGCTAAATCTTCAAACTTTATCAAATACGGAAATCGTTCAAAAAGTTTTCTGCCTATACATATGACCCAATACAAGCGTAGATTCGAAGTTAATAAGGTAGCTTAGATAGTTTTTTACCGCTGTCATCGTGAATGACTATTACGTTACACTTGTTTGTGTACAGATCCATTATTAGCGTAAATTAAAACATTTTTTTCTGAATAGATGATTGGTCTGATTACTTGGTTGGCAGCACTAAAAACAAGAAAATTTTATTTAAAGAAATTCCAACGCTTCGGCCGAACTGGTATCGGTAATCATCAGGAAATGAAAAAATTAGAAACAAACTGCTGCATCAATACATGCTTAACCCGATTGGTAGAACACTCGGCCCGGTCTTTCGAACAGTCCCGGTCTCTACAAAGCTATTCAATGGGATCTGCAAAATCACAAATCTCTGCAATGCAAAATTTAGTTCAGTTCGATCTGACAGTGCCAGATGAGTTCATTAAGTCAAGAATACAGTTCAAAGTCATAGTTTTACACAAACAGGTCTGTGAACGTCGCATATCTTTTACCGAAGTCTCTTTCGTAAAATACGACAATCCATTAATTGAGAGCGGATCAGGGTATAATGTTAACGCTTTATGTTTGGTAACAGGTGACTGTGCCTTCTATGCAAATATACATGAATAACGATATTTAATCATGCCGACCAGATTTAAATTAAGAACAAAGTTCTTCTACGGAGGGTTTCCTTAAGGTTCTATCAGCTCTCGATAGCCATGGAATTCATAGCAGATCTGTTTAAATTATTTCAGCTCGTAATAAATCTTTGCAGCTGTTGTATTAGTTAGGGAAAGCACACCGCAGATTAATTCGTTTTGT